GCCCAGGGGCAATCCAATGGTGGACATGCACCCAAGGGAGGCAGTGGAGCTTAACGATTAAGGGAGGAGATTCAGCCAGGGCTGGGTTAGCAGAGGTGTGACTTGGACATGTTGCCACCCCTCTTCTAGCCTGTTCCCCTAGTAGAACAGGGATGATAAGAACACCTTCTTCTAGGGGTGCTGTGAGGACTAAATGAGTTGACTGTTATAAAGCCCTTAACATAGAGCCACTCCCCAAATAAGTGTACTTGGTGGTGGTGGTGGTGGTGGTGGTTGATGATGAAATATTTCCCTAAAAGCCCCCTGGAAGGGAAACAGGGGCCATAGGATGAAAAATGGGCAGTAAGTGCAGGCTGAACTAACAGAGGCTGGGAAGGCGCTGGTTATAGAGGACCTGCTCCACCGACAAGAAGCCCCCAGCCTGCACTGAGGTCTGATGGCAACTTCACGTGGCTGTCCTTTGCTTCGTATGCACGAAGAGAGAGCCACGGGGCCAGTGGGAAAACCAAGCTGGAAAATCTAAGTGGAAGCTCTTTGTCAAGAGGGAAAACACTTAATCAAGTGAGTTTTTTTCTTCCTTTCTTCATTGCCAAAATCCCTGTCTTTTCAGTAAGATCCTCACAGGCCCAGGTGGAAGGCCACTGCTTACCTAAAATCTGTGGTTCCCAGCTGGGGGTGACTGTCACAAGTGAGGATTTGCTGCCAGCTTCTAGTGGGTAGAGGCCTTGGGTGCCACTAAACATCCTACAGCTCCTCACAATAACGAAGTGCACACCCCAACACCAACAGTGCCTAAAGCTAAACATCGTGGCCTGGACTAGAGCGAAGCTCTCCTTCCTCTATGCTCTTCATACACCTCGCTTGAGCCTGTGTTGGGGCACTGACCTGACTCTGCCAGGTGCTGTGGTTAGCTGGTGGTCTCCTGGTACAGTAGAAAGGGCACAGGCTCTGAAACCTGGCTCAGCCACCCATTGGCTAAGACCCAGAGACAGTCATTTAGCTTCTCTGAGACCCTTCCTCGTCTGAAAATGGAACTTAGAATCCAAATTTGCAAGGTTATGGTAAAGATTACATCAAATACTCTGTGTCGAGCACCTGGCACATGGTAAGTGCTCAGTGAGTTGTAGGGTCATGTCTTCCTAGATACAACCCAGAAGGCCACAGTCATGTCTTGTATATCTTTATATTGCCTACAGCATCTTAGGCTATACCATGCACATAGAAGGTGCTCAGAAACTGTTGAACTAAAGTGAAGTCCTGCCTGGAAGCCAAGGCTCAAGAAATAAACTCAGCCCACCTCTTAGACCTAGAGTCCCCGCAACTTGTAAATGGTTTTGATCTAGTCTTCAGGATGCACCAATATGTCAGAACAGTGTCTGTTTCTCCCTTTGCCAAGTCGTGGGTCCTTCCAGGGAGCAGGGAGACTGAGCTTAGTCTTTGATTCTTTCTGGGACAACCAGAGCCTTGGCTGCTGCTTGGGAGCAACTACCACCATCCGGCTATTCCCAGCTGACCAACACAATAACCTGTCAGTAGCCAAACACCTGCCATAGTACATGGAGAAAAACATCAAGGAAATGACAGTTTCCTAACAAAAGAGGGATGCAAGTCTAGATGAGTATGAGCTGCCTGGAAAATGAGAGGGGCCATCACCCAGTTCTCCAGATTGAACGAGCCTTTCTAAATACACACCCCACCCACACCCACCCACTGATACACACAAATGTGAGAAGATCATCTCCATCCCTTTCCACTGCAAAGCTTTCAAGGGCTCATCTACTACCCGCTTCCCTGCTAGAGAAGCTATCAGGGAAGGCATATTGGACCAGGAGGGAGAACTGAAAGTGTGATCCCAGTCAGTAACAGGCTGTGCAATTTTAAGCAAGTCCTTCACCTCTCTGAGCCTCAGTTTCCCAACTATGAAATGGAAACCTGGACGAGAAAAGTCCTGGCTGTGATATTCCATGCTCTTTCCACAGCCAGTCGTGGCTTCGCTCCCATATAGATCTGCTGAACACCATACAGACAAACCTGATACATTCCAAGTCCAGCTCTTGCTGCTTTACAAGGCCTGGATCTCCTATTACTTTACTAGGTGGCCCCCAGAAAATAGCAGGGGAGCATTATCTCCCCCACTGTTAGAGTTCTTTGGAATTGTCACATTAGTCCTGCCCTTCTCATCCCTCCCAAGACCAGGCCAAGCTACCCAAGAAGTATCAGGCAGGGACTCAGATTGCAAAGATACATGGTGACACAGACACTCTGCCAGCACTCAGGAATCCAGGCCAAGAATAGATAATGCTTACACCAAGCACGCATGATAATTGCTAGGTGTCTAAGAGCTAACTGCTCCAGGTACAACACTGCTCTTAGCAGCTTTCTCCAAAATCCCTTAATAAAAGGAATCCAGGCACAACCATCACCTAAAAGGAGAACTGTACTCTAAATCCTCCCCTGTCTTATTCCTGGATCTTCTTCCTTCCAGGCCCCCAGTAACCTCACTGAGCCCAGTGTTTGGGTTGCATCAGCTCTGGGGCTTCCCCTCACACACAAAGGACTGCATCTCACCTGCACAAAGCTTTCTTTCCCATGTGGATACAAAGCACTACACTGCTGCCTGCCAGCTGCCCTGCACTCTCAGCTATGGGGTAGACACAGGGAGGCAAAGGGGAAAGAAGACCAAGTCTGGAGTTGGAATCCCAGCTGTGCCAAGTTGGACAAGCTATAATCCTCAACCTTTTTGTGTCTCAGTTTGTTCACTATAAACTGATGTCAGGAAAACCCACCTTCCAAGAGTATCCTGGGGGTTAAATGAACAACCTACACTAGGTGCTCAGAAAAGTGTGCTATTTCTACAGGGATTTCACCAACTTGCCTGAAAAATTCAGTTTCAAGAACAAAACACCCAAACAATTTGAAAAAAGAAATGATTTAAAACCAGAAGGTCTTTTGGTCCTTCATCAGAAGTAAATTGGATTCTCTTTGGATTAAGGAAGAACAGACTAGTTCTTCTCTAAGAATTTTACATTTGATTCAGACAGATGCCAAATGCATGGAGAACTCTGATTCTGTCATAAGAAGCCCAGAATGGAGGTCAGACCCACACTGACTCAGGTTTTCAGGTTACCTAAAGCAGCTCACTTCACTGGTCAGACCAGATTGTAGTGATTCTCAAGCCCAGCTACACATTAGCATCAGCTGGGGAGCTCTTCCAACCCATGGGTGTGCAATCCCCATCCCAAAGCAATTTCACCAGAATCTCTGCTGGGTAGGGTGGGGTATCAGTACTTTAAAGAGCTACCTGAATGATTCTCATGTGAGAGCCACTGGACCAAAAGATCTCTAGCATCCTTCCCAGGCATCTTGTGCCTATAATAATGGATGACACAGAATAGACACTTAGTACATGTTTGTTAAATAAACTCTGACTCATCAGAATTTTTTATATTTCCATATTCACCATGCATGAAATAAAAGATGAAAAGAAGAAGAGCTGAATTCCAAGTAAGACTCCTAGAGCAATGCTGTCCAACAGACATTTCAGCAATGATGGAAATGTTCTATAATCTCTGCTTTTCAGTACAGCAGCCATAAACCGTACGTGGCTACTGAGTACTTGAAATGTGGCTAGTGTGACTGAGGAACTGAATTTTAAATTTTATTTAAAGTTAATTAAATTTAAATAGCCACATGACTTCTGGCTACCATAATGGACAGTACAAACATAGAACGTCTACCCTTTATAAACATACCCTTATCTGTGCACCTCCATGCCCCTCTTTCACTAATAGCATACCATCTTCATTTAGGGCAGCCCCCTGCCAGTCTCTTGGGGACAGCTAATGAAGCTGCCGTGCCCTTCTCCAGCCAAGGGGTGAGCCCAGGACCCAATCTAAGTCAACTAGACTCGCCTCTTCAGGAATTTTACTCTAGCTTCAGTGTCACAAGAATAGAAAATGAGTTGGAGCAGATTCATATCAATGCTGATATTGTTATTAAGACACTGTGTATATATTTCCAGAACATTAGTCCAGAGTGTGACGATCACAACAGTGATATATGATGTGAACTAGGCATCTGTGTATTAGTTTCCAGAACATTAGTCCAAAGTGTAATGATCACAACAGTGATATATGATGTGAGCTATAAGCACCATTACCATCATCCTCCTTGTCATCAGCACAGTCCCCAGTACCTAGAAGCTCTGATGTGCCAGCTCCTGAACTAAGTACTTACGTTGCTAAGATTCTCTGAACATCATTTCTTCATCTGTAAAATGGGAATTAGCCCATCCGAACCTCTTCCAGAGTTTTTATGAAGACAGATAACATTCATAAGAGCTTTGAGCCAAATAAGGAGTTATTCAACTGTCTGTTAGAGGTGTTGCTCTCTGGTATTGGCATGGGGGAATCATGGGAGGGTTTGATGTAGGACCCAGTACCTGAGCTCAGTTCACAAGCTGTGTGACACCAGGCAAGACCTTTGCCCTTCCTGGGCTTTCAGCTAAGATGAGATTGAGTTAGACACATCCCTTTCCAGTTTTGCCATTTTCTAACCTATTTGCATGCCCCTCCCACCTTGCCTGACACCTATCCCTTCCTCGTTTTATGAACACAGCCCAGAAAACTCATTAGCCTAGAACTTGCTGGCCTTGTGGCCAACTCATTTCCTCTTTCCCCAGCAACCCATCTGACCAAGAAGTTGCCCAGGATAAGCCCACCCATAGCTTCTTGTACTAAGCTTCTGGCAAAGCACATTATTGGAATCATGATTAACCGTCTCCTCCACTAGTAGACCATAGCCCTCCTAGGGCAAAGATCGTGTCGCTCTTATTCACCATTGTATCGCCAGTGCCTAGTACAGAGCCAGGCACATATTAGGTGCTCAATAAGTACTTACTGTTTGAATGAATACCCCAAATTAATTTTACTATTTATCATTTCAGGAAACCCACAGTATTCGTTTTTTAATGCTGTATAACAAAGTACCTCAAAACTTACTGGCTTAAAACAACAATAATCACTTCTTAACTCCCAATTTCTGTGGGAGTGAAATTCAGACAGGGCACAGCAAGGTTGGCTTGTCTCTGTTTCATATCCTGGACCTTGGCTGAAAGACAAAGGCTAGGGGCCAGAATCATCTCAGTTCACCACCAATCTGGTGACTGAGACCTGCTGTCATCTGAGAGTCTAGCGGGAGAGGTAGCCAGATCATCCCATGTCACGTCTGCCATGTGGCCTGGGCTTCCTCACAACCTGGTGGCTGGGTTCCAAGGGTGGGCATCCTGAGAGAGTAAGAAAGAGACAGGATGAAGGTCTCCTTTTTATGACCTAGGATTAAGGGGTACATCCCATCACTTCCACCACATTCTATTCATTAGAAGCCGATCACTAAGTCTAGCCCACATTCAAAGGGAGGAGAATAAGGGCCCACCTTTCGAAAGAAGTAGTAAAGAACTTGCATACATATTTTAAAACCACTACAACCACGCAGCTAGCACAAGAGGCAAAAATGCATGGTGAAAGCTCAGTGTCTGAAGAAGTACTTGTTGGTCCCTGATGGTATTCACATACTTGGAATGTCTTGCCTCAGTCATCTTAAAAGGATCCCTTCTTAACTCGCTTTCTTGAAGTCCACTGACCCTTTCCATCACTGATCACCCTTGGTTTCTGACACTGGAGGCAGCAAGAGGTTGCTACTGGAGCTAGAAGACCTAGGATTCACACAACAGGGACAACTTTAAGGAACAGATGGGGAACACAGGACCTCGGGATTCTCTATAGCCTTCTCTGTCCCAGCCCAGGGGAAGTAAGAAATACAGCAGAGACCTAAGAATGCGAATCTGTTTGCTGGGTCTCAGGAATCCACATTTACTCACCAGGCCTTTTTCACACTAACTCCTGGTAGAGGGGAGGGGACGCGTCTTAAAGCACGCATCACTGTCTGTCTCATTTTAGTAAAGTTTCTCCCTATTGCTCCTAGTTCGCGCCTTTCAGGGCTACCATTCGGGGGGGGGGGGTATGCCTTGGGTCTCCGCAGTCCTGGGCCCGCGCACAACAATGAGCCATAGTGTCACTTTTTCTGGGCCAGCTGACCCTCCCCAGCCATTGCCTCCCACTTCCATGGGTCTCGGTCCAAAGACTCCTGCGCAGCATCCTTCCTGCAGTGTGTGCGGGGGCGGGGGCGCCCAGAGCCGTGTCCAGGGAGGCCCACTACAGGGCAAAGCCAGCGTACCCTGCTCCCACAGGTGCAGGTCATGGGGTGGAATAGGGTGACTTTTAACCCTTTCACCTTCAGAGGTAGTGACTCTGACCCCTGATAGCCTCCTTTAAGGGACGCGCGCGCCAGAGGTGGGGGTGGGGGACTGGGTGCTCACCCAGTGTGAAGACCTCGGCTGATAGATTGGGAAACCAAGGCCCACAGAGGGAAGTGATCTGTTGGATGTTCCACAGGAAAACAGTCGCTGAATCCAGTCTAGAACCCTCGTCTTCGGGCCATACTCCGGTTTCTACACCTTGAGGGCCCCAGCGAAGTAGTCCCTTAGGAAATTCCGGCCCGCGGGCCTTCCAAGCCCGGAATCTCCGTGGAGTTTGCACTCCGTTTGGCACGTTGTAAACTCCCCCAGCAGCTTCGCACCGGTTTCGCGAAGTCCTGGGAGACGGGTGAGAGAGGAGCACACGCCCGTCTGCGTCCGAGAGATAACTTGGGGCAGAGAGACGGATGGCTGAGGGAGGC